ATAAAATAGAAAAAAAAACAAACACTTTTTATTCTGTTGAGTGAGGGACTTTTTTATTATTATTATTTTAACTTAATTTTTGAAAGGCATTATTTGCATTGGTACACAGCTGTGCCAGCATGGCATTATAAATATGATTAAGTGTGTGGTAATGAGTCCTTCAAAATAATGCATTTTTATTATTTGATCAGTCAGTCTAGCACAAAACTAACAATTCCTGTGGGCTTTGTCAGCTGCAAGACCAAGAACTCACTAGTGCCAGTGACCAACATCTGGTCTATTTTCTTAGAAAATCAAGATTGATTTTCTAAGAATAACTGAGTACCGTAACCAATGGCTGTTGATTATTTCAGGGAAAGGCTTTCTTATTAGACTTGTTTCCTCATTATTAGTAAGAAGACACTTATTAGGAAAAGAGATTTGAGTCTTGAAAAAAACTCACAGGAAGGGACTCCTGTTTCTCACTCATGTCAGTTTAAGCTTATGTAGACAACTTTTTAACATTTAGTATTGTATGAAACAAACTTTATTTTAGAACTTACATGGAAACAGGGAAAAAACCAAGACTGTTTCATGTCATCACAATATTATTCTTTCTCATCTAGATAAATTAGTGAAGTCTTCATAAGAATCATAAGAAGGCCTTCCCAATCCTGAATAAACTGTCTCATTTTCCAAATATTAGTCTGATTTACTTGATTCCACCTTAGGAACATATTTTTTGGAGCTTTGCCCAGTTGGTTTACTAAACAAACGCAACCAAAAAATTGATACTTTTTGCCTACTCGTGTGCTTAAGACCCCATTCAAAAGGTAAACTTTTGGAAGGATCAAAAAATAATTCTCTATTGTATTTTCTGTCTGTATTTTTTTTTTTTTTTTTTTTTTTTTAGTGTTAATTCTTATGACACAATAGCTATTTTTCATTCAAAATATGGAAAAAAAATGTTTGCTTTGCTCTGCATGTTTAGTAGATGCTCTTGTTTTTAATTTTCTTACTTTTAATTTATTTATAGACCTGTAAGGTCTCTTCTGCTTCATGGCAGGAGACAGTGACATAAGATGGCATATAAAGGATATTGCTTTGGCTCATAGCATACTCAAGGAACAGGGACACCGAGGGACTATGTTACCAGGCAGAACCTGTGACAGATAGAGTTCTTAGTATCTGTTGTAGCACTGCTAACACTGTGGCTAAGCGTCTTTCAGTCACTGAACCCATTCTACAAACATGACTTCCCTGAAAATGAGCTAATTTCAGCGCAAAGTAAAACAGCTCCAAAAGAATGAGTATTCTGAGTATAAGAATAATCAACGTGTGAGGCATGACAGGTCACAGTCTACTTCTAGTCAAGTTTTGGATTATTGTATTTGATTTCAAGTTTGTTACCTAAAGCTCGTATGACTAGGAGGTGAATAATTTCCTCATCACCACAAGTGATATGATTGGCAATTCATTCTACTGTTCCACCAGCATCACCTCGCAATCCCAAGTTAGGAAGTATTTGTTTATATTTAAGTATCTTTCATAACATAGAGTTCCATCTTTATTTGACAGAGAGGTGTTCAGCAAATGTGTCAGCAAATTGAAAGAGTGTTGTCTATAGGCATGGTTTCAGTAAGCCCCCTTGTTAAATATGGAACTCTCCCTAGACACTTCTTTGCAGCCAAAGATTTAAATATTCAAATAAACATTTAATGACTCGATGGTTTTCTTCTTCACTGGTGTGAATTTTCCTTTCCATGCCAGAGAGATCTAACAAAGGAGCCAAGTGGCTTGAATCACGATAACCATGTTGCCAGTAAATGGTAAGATGCATGTTTTGATTGGCAAAGACACTAAGGAATGTACCAGCCATGAATTATTTCTTCTCCCTAAGCAAGAGAGTTTGCAGGACAATTAAAAATAAAATTGGATAATTTTGGATTACGAATGACATGGAAATTGAGGAGAGCACATGCACACACACACACACAAAGCTGAGAAAAGTATAGAATTATCTCCCCTATGTTGTTTGAAACTATGTGTAGTTAGCATCTATAGTCAAGCTACAGACTGCTGTTCATTCCTTTGAGGAATCTGAATGAGGCCAAAGGCTCAGGAAAACCCCTTATATCTATTCTTCTCCTCACATAGCCAATATTAGATTTGCAAAAGAAGAGAGTGTAGGTGGGGGATAGTTGTGAATTAGCACTCTTAGTAAACTATGGAAAATCTTAGCTAAGAGGTGGAACTCAAGGACAGAAAGATCTTGTTAGTCTGTCTAATTCACAGAGCTATCACTGCAGAAGGGTTCTCTTATGATAGTTTCTAATGACTCATGTAGCCTTGCTTAAATCCATATCTATGAGCTTATTAAACTTCCTCTTGATTTTTAGGAGTCGTTACCATGGAAAGTGGGAATCCAGATTACTATTAAGAAGCTGAATTTTATTGCATCAGAATGTGGTGCTCTGCTCCAGCAGAAAGCTCCATTATCCTTTCTCATTAAAATTGAGTGCTTTTTTTTTTTTTTTTTTTTTCACCTGCTCTAAAGTGTTGTCATCCTGTACGTCTTGTTCCCTCAGATACATACCCCATAGAGAATGTTTAAATTATGCATAAATATAGATATTTCCGATTAGCTGTTAGGGAATACAATTCTGTCAGTACCCCATTAGCTTCAGAATAAGACAGGACAGGGCCAGTTTCAGAACTTGACAGACACAGACTTTATTGATGTTACAGTTCATGCTGTGGCTGAACTGTATAGATTATATATAGGTCTATATATATTTTTAGGTGTAGTGTTAAATGACTGGCACTGTCCCATGTAGTTCATAGCCCAAACAGAAAGCATTCAGATGAGTAGAGAAGGACATTAAACTATTCCTACACTGAGGTGTTAGCCACTGAAAGAAGGCTGGACAGACAGAGTGAGGAATCCAGAATTGAACTGTCCCTCTGCACCATTTGTTGTCATTTTGATGACATCCACTCATCTGTGTATTAAAGCACAGACTAAAGAAAGGGAGGATCCTAAAAGAAGGTAAAATGCATTTTCCTTTTGCTGGCAAGACAACATACTGCCTTGCACATAAACCACAAGAAAGACTTTTTAAAATAAAAAACAAAACAAAAACAGAAACAAAAACACATTGCGAAAAAAGTTCAGGCTGCTGTGTAAACTGTAACAGAATTTTTCACCGGTATTTATATTTCAGAATTATGGAGAATCTGGGAAAACTTTAGAGATCACCAGGACTAGATTATGCTGGTGCTGTGACCTCTGAAGAATCTAATAGAGAAAACTGCTAACCCTGCGGTAATAATGCATAGCTCAAACTATCAGTAATATCAAAGGAATGAAAACTGATAAAGGTAACATCAGTCACTGAAAGAGTGATCTTGGAAAATGTTGACCCATGGTCTAATTTTTCATGCTGGGAAATCAGTTTAAAATAATAATAATAAAGAATAAGATAAACAGATAATGGATAATTGGAAGTGACATGCAATATAGATATAATCAAAGGGAATCGTGGCCCACAAATCTGTTAGAGTTCTTTGTAAGTAACATATCTAGACACATGTAGTATATATGGACTTTCCACAAGTTTTCAGCAAAACCATTCATAAGTCTTAAAAAAACTAAAAACACTCAAAAAAACACCAAAAAATGAAGGCTCTTTTGGCTAAGTAACTCCTAAAAGTTAAAAAATAAAAACTTTTGACAATGGAGCAAGTTTACTCATGATGCCCCCTGAGATGACAGCAGGTTTTTCTGTTAAATAGGAGGAAAATAGAGAGTTGATGAAGTTTAAAGATGATTTGGGACACTCAGTGGTAAAGATGACAGTAAGAAGCTGGAATGTGATTATCACAGTATTGGGCAACAGGGGAATAAGATGATAGATGAATTGTAATGTAAAGTACTCAACAGAGGGGAAAAATTATAGACTCAGTAAGTGGGATCAAAATAAGTTTCCAGCAACAAATTCAGAAGTAGCTTGTTTTTTGTACTCTTTCCCCAAGCATCTGCAGATGGCATCCACTGGGCAGCCAAAATACTAAGCTGAATGGACCTTAAGTCTGAACCCATCTGGCATTTGTTGTGATTAAGAATTTTGAATGAAAAATGGAGAAGAGCTGCAGACTTCATGAGCATGCCTTAAATGTTTTCTGCTCTCCTACACTCTCTGTGATGACCAATTTTATCTAAATATGTTTGAACCATTAATATTGTAATATTGACAGAATTTACTTACACAATATACAGATTGTGTTATTCTCACCATGCAATCAAAAAAGCAGAGGACAGTAGCATGATGTTGCAAAGGTAATAGGACTCATGAATATAAGTATATGTAAATACTAAAATGTTTCTTTTAAAGGAAAGACATTAAAAGAGCATATTTTAATTCTGTTTGCTAATAGAGGAGGTTCTCACCAAACATCAGGAAGCACTTTACTGTGCAGTAGGCTGAGCACTGGCAAAAGTCACCCAGGGAGGCTGGGGAGTATCCCACCTTGGAGACCTTCAAAAGCCGTCTGGATATGGGGACAGGGTCCTGGCTCAGCACTGTCCTCAAGAGATGGAGTATCTCTCCCTTTCCCTCTGCTGTTGCCCATGTACAGTGTAGGGATAAAAAGAGATGAAAAGGTGGTATCATAGAGAATATTATTTTTTTTTCCCTAAAATTCCCCCCCCCTTTCTTTTTTTTTGATTGTTTACTGTGCTCTGCCCTCTTGGCCAGGCAAAGCCATCAACTGAGGGTCATATTTTTTCCTGTTTCTTAATTTTCATTGCTCCTTCTTGCTCTTCCCCTAGACTCTGTAATCAGTTCTACACTGGAATGTGCTGCACATGTTTGAAAGACATTATCTTATGTAAATCATAACCTCAAGGTTTGAAAGTGTTTTGTGATCCTTGTGTGGCAGTGTGTGTAGCCTGGTCTATTGCTGAAACAGAATCTCTGGAAAGGGAAGAATAATAAATCAGAAAATTGTTTCTGTCTGGCAAAGTAGAAAAAAAACACTATGGAAAGAATTCCCCTTCATGAGCTGTAGATTGCACTTGTAGTTTATTGAGCCCAGAACAAAGATTTGATATCTATTTCCTTTCTATTACAGCTCATGAACTCACAACTGGAATTTGCTTCTTCTAAAAGGAAAAAAAGAAGAGAAAGGAAAAAAAAAAAAAAGATATAGTGAGCCAGACCATAAAACAGCATTGGACTCTTAAAAATTACATTACAATTGGAATTTTTAAACCTATGTAGAAATTATTATTGTATTGTATTACTGTAATAAGTGAAATAGGATATTTTCAGCACAAAATTTAAACAAAAATAAACACCAGTAGTATGGTGTAGGAAATTACAAATTGAAGCACTCAGTTTTAAAGGGATTAAGGGTAATGTAAAATTGGCCTTTCACTTAATACTGCTCTGCTGCTTTGGCAACTATGCACCAAGAGACAGTTAAACAATTACATTATTTCTGGCTATAAAATACTACCAGAAAAAATCATGTTTCAGAATAAATAAGGAAAAAATAAAATAATTTATGGACTAACAGGCCCATACAAATGGACACCAAATGCACTGCAGCTTTCCCAGGACAGTGCCCAGTGTCGTTTTTCCCCCACCCTGCCCTTCCAAGTGACCCACAGAAGTGAGAGGAATGACATATCCAAAACCAAGGTAGGTTTCGCAGAGAGGAAGAAATTGAAGTGAATGACAATGAGAAAATATATGCTTAAAAACTGTGATTATTAACTGTGATTAAAACTGCGATTCATCATAGATTATAATCCTACTGATGTGACTATGTCAGATCTGAGGTTTGTTTTCTAGTCTGCATTGTTTTTAAAATGTAAAGTATTCATTTCCTATCCTCATTTTTCTAGATAAGTGATTGAGACGTAAGTACATCTAATTGTTCAAAGAAACAGAACACAAGTATGAGAGAACCTAATGGCATTATTATTTAATTTTGTGTTTGTTTTTTTTTTTTTTTTCTTTTTTCTTTTTTTTTTTTCCAGTCTATTTTGGGAATTTGATGGGGGATTGATATGATATCAATGTGTTTTTGTGTATCTTTCAAGTAAGTACCAAAAGAAAGTGAAAATTACCTAAAGTTAGAAAGATTTAACATAAAAATGAGAAAGTTTGATGGTAGCAGATGTAGTGGATGTAGTACGTAATTACATCTCACTTGTTTTCAGAAATTGATTGATTGCATCTTGTAAAAAGATGCCCAGATTTTTCAAATCTAGAATTTAGAAATACCTCTCTCCAAAATCTCTCAACAAAATAGCTGAAACCTATTTCATCTGAATAAGTAGAAAGAAAGGTATTGAAATGCAGGGCCACACTGAAATTAATTACGAATTTCTTATTCATTTCAAAAGTACTTTTTTGATGAATTTATAATTTGTAGAGTATTCTGGCCTGATCACACAAGAGAATTAATTCTGTCCACCAGCCAGATACAAAGCAGCACAAAGTCTATCAAAATCTTCTCTTACTTTTATGGCTTACCTTTAATGGTGATCTGCTGATGCCACTGAGCTATGGTTTTACTGCTGGCTCAGCCTATAGGGAATGCCTGCTTGTTAGAGACTTTTTTTTTTTTTTTCTTGAGAAGGTTGCAATTTTGCAAAGCCCAACAGTTATTCAACAGCAGATGGCAGCCAGGGGATTGACTTGCTCCCCCGGAACCAAAGAGAAGTGCCTTAAAGAATGTTCTGCAATTCAAAGTGTATTTGGGGGGTGGAAAGTTTGAAGAGTGTCTTGGTACTGTGCTACCATGGCAGCCAGGTGATCCCACCAGCACCCTAGCCCTATGGGGAAACTGGATGCAGGCAGATGTTTTACAGGAGTGATGGGAGTTAAAATCTGCATGTGCAATGTGTAACTTAGCTATTTGGTAGAAAGTATGTGAAATAAAGTCCATGCATGCATGGAGACATCTGAAACCATGCAAACTAGATAAGCTCATTCATGAAGCTGCCTGAGGAGGTGGTATAAGGTAGAGACAGCTCTCAGATTGACTAGCAACCTTACTTGCTCACTCAAAAGACTGTGAAAGTATTTTCAGTTTAGTCATACACTGTGACCTCAATGTCCTATATTGTCCTCAGTTATCAGACTGCTGCACTAGATGAGTTAAGAAGGGAGTTATACTGGTGACTTGAGTTATTAGATCTTTTGCTGGGTATTCTTATTTCAGGGGATTTTCCCTGTATTAAGCAGGAAATACCCTATAAGTTATGTGGAATGGGAAAAATAAGTGTCCTCAGGTCTTCCTGCAGCCAGGTAGCACTGTTCAGGCATAGAATGGAAAGCACTAAAACACAGGCTTGAAACCAATGTGGGGCTGAAATATGATTTCTGAAAAAAAATAAAATTTGATTTTGACCACTGTTTCCAGTATTGTTTTTCTCATTGAAAACATAAATGCATAAAATCCAAAACATTTGGCAGTGTCTGCAGGTTTTTTTTTTTCCATGTTTATTGTTTTTTGTTTTTAAATGGAAAAAGATGTCAAAGAATTAATGATATATATCTGTAAACATTTCACATTTCAATATATGTAGCCTTTCCAACACTTTCTTTTGTATCCAAATACCTTTGTTCACGACCCTGTGGTTCTTAAGTGTCACTGGTGAATCTCAATGACATTTGCTTTTCTACTGCTTTCTTTTTACTGTGTTTTTTAAAGAAGTGGTCCATACAGAAGTTGAATTTGGCTACCATGCAGCCGTGTATAAAGCCAAATGTATAGCAGCACTTTCCACAGGAAGGAAACAGCTCAAAGAAAGATAAAACCTCTGCTTTTTTATTTCTGGTGCTGCTATGATTACAGGACAACAAAGAGCACCAACACAGCTAGAGTTACAAACAGCAGTATGGTTGGTGGTAAAGGCATCCATGTGGCTTATCACAACCTGCTCCATGGCTGCTTAGCACTGTTTATTCCTCTAGATTTCTAGACAGGATTTTCTGTAATTGCTCAGCACTGTGGTCCCAAGTTAGCTTGTTTTTAATCACCCCCCCATCCCTGAGTGCACCCCGCTTGTTTGAGCCCCCAGGGCTGCCCAGTGGGATTGTGTCACTGTGTATCACATCGATCTGTGACTTCCCACACGTGGTTGTGTGCCCACGGCTGCACCTGCCACCTTGCCACCTGCTAAGAATAGCACCCCGTTATCAAGATTCATCTCTAAATTACAGATGAAGGAATACAGATAGCAAAAAAACAAACCAAACCAAAACAAAAACAAACAAACAAAAAAAAAACAACTGCTGAGGGTCACAGAGTAACCATGAGGCTCTTTCACTGCTGGCTGGGTGCTTTGAAAGCACTGTCTTCTTTCTTCCCATGTGCCTACCTCTGAGCTTTGGTGTGCTCCAAGTGCTGGACTACCCACCAGAGTAATCACCAGGAGTTTGAGGACAAGCTTACATTAAGGAACTTGCAGAAATTGAGCTTTGAAAGTTTAATGTCAGGAGGGAGTTCTGTTTTCGACAGCATAGTGACTGCAAGATGAAAAGGGCCAGGAATGAGAAAGAAAGGTGAGATGGAGTCTTGCTCTGTAGTGCAGCTTCCTGGTGGGGGAAATGCTTCTCATCCTGTGGAAAGACTCCCACTGAGTGGAGTGTTTTGGTTTCACAGGACTAGGGATCTGTTCGTGCTCTGTTGCCCTATCAGTGCTTTGGTGCCTGTCTCTCGTGATGGGCTCCTCTTGGTCTTGGCACAGAATGCAGGAACGCTCCCAGATCCTCAGGAAGGACACACAACATCCACATATTGGGCTGAGGGTTCGACTCCATTCTCATCCCTTGCTTTTTGGAAAAAGAGCAGCTCAGATGGGTACTTCAGCAGGTCCCTTCATCAAGGGTCAGGCCAGGTGCAAAGCTCTGTGCTGATCTGGAAACAAACATTCTCTCACCAGAACCACACTCAAGCCGGGATGTCTTGTTATAAGTCTGGTGCTATTCTAGTAGAGTGACCCAGAGGTCCATTCACCTGGTGCGTAATGATCCAGGAGTCACCCGCCACCCATCTGAGGGACGGTCTCATGGGCCAGACTTGGGGTGGCTTTTACTCCAGAGCTTCATGACTGCAGAAGATTGGTGACACAATTTGGGTCTACCCTTTGTCTTAATTTTTAGCTTTGACTCATTCCTGAGTCTGAACTATAAATTTACTTTTAGTTTAAACTTTCTGACACTTTCTTGCAATTGATATCAGGACAAGTGGAGACAGTAAATTTACGTTTCAGTAAGTGTGTTTGCAAATATTTTTTTGTCCTCCCAGACAGGGAAGTGTGAGATGGGCTGTTGATTCACTCTGATGCAGTGACTGACCAGCTGGGACTCCCTTTTACTTGCTCAGGATTTTGAAATCTCTTTCTATCTAAAAGTCCATAAGCCTGTAAGCAGCATTCCTTCTACTGAAAAAATACCAAAAATCCACTGTGATAGAGAATTCCTTTTCTTTATTTTCTTTTTTTCATTTATTTATTTTTTTTCAAAATTTTTTTTTCATGTCACAGTTTACACTACTAAAAAAATAAAGATATTTTAAACACTAAGCATTATCCAATGGTCTTGTAAGTTGATGTTACTACTTCTTTTTAAGAAAATCATTTTGTTTACATATAGAAATCATTGAGCTATAAAGGCTATGAATAGAATTGCCTCATTCAACCTCTCTGAAATAATTTATTCTTAAAACCAAAATCCTCACAAAGACAAGCAGCAGTTTATCATTTTTATATGGCTGGTTACACCCTGCTTCATAGGCAAAACAAAAAGCCATTAGTAACACATCACACTCAATAAATCAGTGCATTCAGGTGTGGACACATAATTCTGTTCTGACAATTCAGCATCCATTGGCTGAGCAGGGACACAGCTAGCTCAACTCTGAACTTGTGGCAAGTGTAAGGTAAAACATGTCAGAGTGAAAAAGAAGTGGAAGAAGAAAGTTCACCTTGGCAGTCTTGATGACTCAGGAAGATTGGGCTAACTTTCTGAATGGCAATAGCTTTTATTTTTTATTTTTTTAAAATTTTTATATATATATATTTTTAGTCCATGATTTATAGAAAGGGCAAGCTGAGTGTTGGAGAAAAGGTGCCAAGCTCTGTGGGTGTGAGAAGCCAGCCAAAGAGATCGCATATGGCCAAGTATCAGCCCTGTGGCTTTAAACTTCTGCTACCTCAACAGAGAGAATATGACACATCATAACTACCTGAATTTAAAAGCCATTCCTGTACAGCTAAGTGACAACCTGATTGGTACAGCTAAGTGACAACCTTTCAGCCTGGAGAAAAGGAGGCTCAGGGGTGACCTTATCGCTCTCTACAGGCACCTTAAAGGAGGCTGTAGCGAGGTGGGGGTTGGTCTGTTCTCCCACGTGCCTGGTGACAGGACGAGGGGGAATGGGCTTAAGTTGCGCCAGGGGAATTTTAGGTTGGACCTTAGGAAGAACTTCTTTACCGAAAGGGTTGTTAGGCATTGGAACGGGCTGCCCAGGGAAGTGGTGGAGTCACCATCCCTGGAAGTCTTTAAAAGATGTTTAGATGTAGAGCTCAGTGATATGGTTTAGTGGGGACTGTTAGTGTTAGGTCAGAGGTTGGACTCGATGATCTTGAGGTCTCTTCCAAACTAGAAATTCTGTGATTCTGTGA